TGTATTGTATAAGAATGCCAGACAGCAGGTCTGAGAGCCTACATAGAATTGTTTTAGAGCTTTAGAGAGGTTCGGAGATCTACTGAGAAATTTGTTGAACCCTGAAGCTAGTTCGTAGATCTTGAGAACAGAACTACAAACAAATTAAAAGAAATTTACAGAAATTCATTAAAAAAAATTACAGATAAATGTTCAAAGAAATTTTCAAAACTTCAAGCAAGCAAACATAATTTCAGATCAATTTGTAAAACTATGAGCGAAATTTTGCAAATCTTCAGGGAAATTCGCATAACTTCAGACAAGTCCAAGAATCTACAGTATTTCACAGAAGTTTGGAGATCTACTGAAACATTATTCAACATCAGAAAAGTTCGTACATCTTCAGAACAAAGCTACAGAACTTTGAAAAATTACAGGACTTCTGAAAAAATCACAAGAATGGTCATAGATCTTCAAATAAATTTGAAGACCTCCAAGAAAGTGGGCAGATTATCTGATACATTTTCAGAATCTCAGAAATGACAATGGATCTTCAGTAAAATTTGCAGAACTTCAGGGAAGTTCGGCGATTAAAAAAAAATATTTACGCGATTTCAGGATAATTTGTAGATCTTGAGAGAGACACTTAAAACTTCTAGGAAGCTCAAATATTCAGATAAATTTTGACAACTTTAGGTAATTTAGAAGATCTTCAGGGAAATTTTCAGATCTCCAGGGTAGCCCGAGAGCCTACAGAGGAATTTACAAAACATCAGAGAAGTTTGCAGATATACTGAGAAATTTATTGAGCCTTTACAGAACTTTAAAGATATTTGCAGGAATTTGACAGAAAGTTTCACAGTTTCAGACAAATGTGAGATCTTCAGAAAAATTCGTTAAATGTCAGAAAAGCACCTCAATTCCAAAAACAAATCGCAGCGAAGTACAAAAGCACAAGACTATGCAGAACTTCATGGAAGTTGGAAATAGATAGATCTAAAGACCTTCAGAGAAGTCCGCAGACCTTAAGGGAAATCCGTAGACCTTAAGAGAAGTCTGTCAGAAAGTTCATACGTTTTCAGCGAAGTTCAAATATTTTCAGATAATTTGTAAAGCTTTGTGTAATTTCAAAGAATTTCTGTTAAATCTGCAGAACTTTATGGAAATCCAAGAATCCACAAAGAAAGTTACACAACTTTAGAAAAGTTCGGAGATCTGGTGTGAAATTTATTGAACTTCAGGGAAGTTAGTAGATCTTTGAAGCAGAAATACAGTACTTCAGAAAACTTTACAGAACTTGAAATAAATTTTAGGAACTTCAGAAAAGTTCAGAGGTTAGATCGTAAATCTACTCAAAAATTAGCAGATGTTTAAATAAATATTCAGAACTTTACTGTGGTTCTTGGATTTTGAGAGACATTTACAGAACTACAGGTAAGTTCGCTGATCTTTAGAGATATTTGCACAGCTTCAGAAAACTTCCTAAAACTTCCGGAAAGCTAAAAAAAATCTAGATAATCTTTTAATTCTTTAGGAAATTGTATAGATGTTCAGAGATATTTGCAGATATTCATTGAATCATGAAAGTCTTCAGAGAAAATTACAGAACTTTCGAGAAGTTCGTAGATTATAAGAAATTTTGTGAACATCAGAGATAATTGTTGATCTTCAAGGATCTTAAATCTTCAGGGATTCAGGAACTTTGTAGGTTTTTAGGAAAATTTGCAGAACTTCTGAAGAATACACAGAACTTCAAAGAAATCTGTAAAATTACCGAGAAATTTGCAGATCATCAGGAAAGATTGTTGATATTTAAAGAAATTTTACCTGAGAAGAAAAACAAAACTTCAGGGACGTCCGAAGGTCTTCAAAGAATTATGCAGAATTGAGTTGTTAACAGAAATTTTCAGAACTCAAGGAATCATGTAGATCTAGTGAGAACTTTTCCCACTAGCTTGTCTAAAGTTGGTATCGACATCCTGGCGAAGTTTTGAAATCCATTTTCATCTTCATATCGCAGCTCTTGAAGGACAAGATGAGCCAGATCTCTGCCGGTGTTCCTCCTGAGCAACCATTTCCTACTCCACCTTCTCCTTCTCATTTTATTTAAAATAATAAAAGCAAATACGTCTGCCGAAACTAGAGCAATTTTCCGGTAATTCATGATGGAAGTAGTTACTTTTGATTCCTGATACAGTTTTGTTTTGAAATTAGATTTTGATTGACAGTTCTTTCTACATGTGCAAGCAGTGTAAACACCAGCAAACAGGGGGGTTCGACAAAATGTGTCGAAAGTAAATTCGAGCAAATTTTTCATTATGGCGGCAGTCAAAATCAGACCAAGAAATCAGATAGTCTAAACGAACCTTAAGGTTGTAAATAAAATTTGTCCATGAAAAGTGACGTTAAGTCATATATTTTTTTAGGGAAAGCGAAAAACGCTCAAATAATCAATCCCTGTATTCACCCTATATTCAATCCCTGTATCTCTGCATAAGTAATGTTTTAAAAATGTCGCTTGCCCATCGCTACGCACTTCTAAATATAAACCATTAGCAGGGTGATAAATTTGAGTAGGTTGCTAGATAACAGATTTAACTGAAGTGCGCAGATCACAGTTCAAAGCTATTTAAACTGCCATTCGGCACTTATTTTGGAGGGATAAAATTAAAAATATGCATCTATGTTGGAAAAATATGGTGAAATTTTTATTTCATGGCCAAAATCTGAGTGGGACTGACACTGACATTTAACATCAATGAAAAAAACAACCGCAAGTCAGTCACAATTCCATGACGATGCTGCATTAGTTTAGTGAACTATTGAATAGTAGAAAGATATTATGGTCCCATAGAACGTTATTGAATGTTTCTGGATTTGTTCCGCTGGTTCCAGAGCAATGGCCGGAACATATTTCGGTGAGTATGGGTCTTCATCAGACCAGAGCTTTTCATGATCGTGCCAAACCCACCATGCGATAAATCAATTCACATGTGAATTCAAAAATAAAATCAATAAGAGTAATGATGAGTGACCAGCACCATGTTGGCCACACCCGGACATGTTCCGCATATCCCCGGGGAAGTGGTAACTCCTTTTTAGATCAAAATCCATCAAGCGATACATCAAATCACATGAGAATTCAAAGTCATATCCTTTGGAAGGTCAAACTGAGTATCGTAAGAACTATATTGGCCACATCCGGACATATTCCAGATACCCTAGGGGAAGTGGACAAAATCTGTCTTGAGACAAATCTCATGATGCGATGTGTTGTCTAACATTTCTAACATATGTTTTTTTCTAATGGGATTGACTTGCGGTTACTTTTCGCTGTGGGACAATTTGACTTGGAACTGTTTTTCATTTTTCTTGAACAAACCTTTTTTTTTTCAATAGCACATCTCAAAAAACATAGAAAGATAAACTGAATAATGATGCTAAATCAAAATTGTTAAAACTGCAGATGGGACTGACTTGCGATTACCGGCAGTAAAGCTCCTGTGCCTTTTTCTATAGAGGTGTTTTTGAGGTTAAAAAATTAGGTTATGTATCTCGTTTTTAATTTGTCATTAACCAACGTCAAGGAGATTAGGATCCCAACTTTTGAAAAGAGACCTGAACGGTTTCGTTTAGATTAATTCTCCCGTAAATTTATTGTTTCTATGATGAGACGATTGTGCTACATTACCCTGAATGCCGTTACCCCGAATGTCACTTCCCAGAACGGCCTTTTCCCCGAATGAGAGTCTACCTTCTTCTGATTGCTGCTCGTTCTTTCCACATTCGAGGTAATGGAACCCGGGTGATGGCGTTGGCATTGGGGCTAATGTAGCACAATCGATAAAACATCCACAATTTACAATTTTTGAGTAGTTCATGACATATGCCAAAAAATAAATAAAATAAAATAAAATACATCTTGAATCCAATAAAAAAAAAGTGTCCTATTCAAATTCTAGTTCTCTGCCATGTCTAATGCTAAACTAATCAATGCATACTAAACAATCACCGGTCTCAGGTGACGAAACTGGTTTCACATTCCAGCATTTTATTCATTGGCTATTATCGGAATATCTTCTTCATTCGAACGCGTTTCTGCAATCAAATTATGGGAGCAGAATTAGTAAATAAACTTTGATCATGATCATTCGATTTTGATCCCGCAGCAGCCTGTGAAGCGTGTTGCCATGGAAGTTAACTTCTGCGTTGCAACTTTTCCATAAAAAAATATGGAAATCAAAACACTTACTCCAACTAAATGGGACTGATATGACTAAAATCACACGCAGTCTACACGTAGAATTTGTATCGTTTAATCAAGCTTAAGGCAATTGGTACATGAGACTAGGCTCATCCTGAATAAACAAAAATCGAGTCGCTTGATAGCCATGATGAAGACCGTTGAAAGCGATACAGAGAGCAGTCAATTCCTGAATTAAAACCAATCAATGAACCAGCATTATACATATCATTTCGCTGCACCAACCCATCTGGAGAGTTGCAGCGAAATCGGAAAGAACTGCTACAAACATATCCGCATCTGAAATATGCGCAAAGGGAGCGATTTCCTGCTACTGAAGCAAGTAGGAACGAGTCTAACAACAGCTTTATTGCCACAGGCAATTACACTTGTAGAGACAATCGTCGTCATCGTCGTCATCATCATCGATGATTGACAGGTTACACAAGGTAGTGATAAATTAAAACCAGTATCCCTCCCTGCGAACTATTCTCAGCCGCGTTCAAAAGCATCATTTCGCTTTTCTCTGCCCGCACCAAACGCTTCTTCCCGAGCGAAAGGAAAAAAAGAACGTCTACCAAAAAGTTACATAATCGGTCACATTTTCGTTTACGCTGTGCAAAGCAACACCAGCAAGCAACAGTGACGAAAAGTAGGGCCATCGTCCTCGTCGCCGTGTCTCGATTGTGTGTTCTCCCCCTTTCCCCACCAGGGCTGATTTTATGCTTAGTAACTAAAGAGTGTGAGCAATGTAAAAATGTAAGGATAGGTCACTTACCTCCCTTGGTCGGGGTACGGTGAGTACAGTGCTGGGCACGATATCCGGTAATAACTTCGTAGTCACCCGAATCTCTACGCAGCGGGAATGCAATCTCGATGATGTGGTCGCAGGGCTGCATCAGCATCAGGATGCCCTTGACCCGCTTGCGCTTCTCCTCCAAGGAGATGCGGCCCTTCATGTCTTCGACCATCTTCTCCTCGCAGATCTGACAAGCCCGGTGGAAGAAGTACTCGACCATGTCGAAGAAGCGGGGGCTGGCAGCGGTGCCGACATCCTTTAGCCGGTCCGGGATCTCATGAACGCAGTAAGTGCGCTGCTGTTGCACCTGCTGGACACTTGCCGCGGTGGCCGCCTTGACCAGGGTGGTCACTTCCTGCTTGAGCGCAGCGCTCTTGGCAATCGTTCTCAGGTGGAACATTTTTCACAGCTGTGTGGTGCGGTAATATAAATCGAAAACGGGTCTTTGAACGGGATGGGTGACATTTTCAGGTTGAATGCGTGGGTGGGTGAGTGGCGAATAGGGTTACAAAGTGGTCTAATGCTTGTCTTGGAATCGGCAGTCTTTACGATTTTAACGCGTTCGGTGGTGAATAAATAAATGGATTGTTTTTAATACACGTAGAGTAAGGTCGGACAAGATGGGTCACGGGGCAAAATAGGTCATCTACTTTATTTTTTAGTTTGTCAACATCGATATCAATATTATATGACAAATGACAACATCAATTGAAAAAGAAAGCCTCCATTGGGGTTGCATTGAAACTGTTGATATTAACAAACAAATTAATTAAAAATGTACTAACTGGCCCATCTTGCCCCACATTACCCTACATGTTCATTTGAGAAAGATAGAATTTTAGGTTAATTTGAAGCCTATTAATTACTACTACTTATTTACTTATTGTCTTGTGGTTTACAATTATTGTACATTTCAATTGATTTAGCCCGAAAGCTCTTCATCTTTGGTGACTATGTCTGTAACAATTTACTGTTTGATTTTAGTTTTAAATTTTGCTTTTGAGTAAAGCATATTTGTTAATTTTAATTAGGAAATTTGAAATTCTACCTACTTAACCCAGTTGCCTAACATAACGTGCCGGAACCCTAATCTGTTGATCGGATCGCATGCAGCAATCTCTGAACCTTTCGATGGTAGCAGTTCTCCGTAACGCCAAGGTCTGAAGACTAGCCAGACGGTGGACCTCACAATTTCTAGTACGCGGTGGACTGATGAGGATCATCCTCAGGATCTTGTTCTGGATCCTTTGTAATTTGAGGTCATGAGAATGTGCGCAACTCTCCCAGATTGGCAACCCGTACTCTATGACGAGAAGGATTATTTGCTGTAGATATTAAGCTTCTGTTTCAGGGATAGGGTGGATCTCCTATTGATTAGCGGGTACAACGACCTTATCAAGATGTTGCATTTTGTTTTTGTTTTGTCAACATGCTCCCTGGAAATAAGCTTGCTGGCGTGTGTTAGTCCGAGGTAGACTACCTCTTTGGACCACTCCACCACTGTGCCGTTAAGGCAGATTTTGTTATTCTCAGACGGAACATGTCTGGGAGATTTTGAGTGTGGAAAAATTATGACCTGGGTCTTCGCCACGTTGATACGGTTCTTCCAGCTGTTGAAATACTCAAACAGGACATCCAAGCCTCTCTGGAGTTTGGTAGTCAGAGCTCCGATGACCCTACCCTTGTAGACGATGTATGTGTCGTCTGCGAACAGAGACAACGATCCACCATCAGGGAGAGCCGGAATATCGGAGGTGAATAGATTGAACACACCTCGGGCACACCTGCACTGATGTTAAAGGCATCCGATGTGATGCCATTCAGAGAGATCTGGAACGTACTGTCCAATAGATAATTTTGTATGATGTTCATGAGGAAGATCGTAAGACTGATCACTGGACTTCAAATTTTATAATATTATGGACAATTGATCTGAATATTAAATTATGTTGGGATAATAGTTTGAATTTCAATTATTAAAAGGTTGTTGAAAATTGTTGAGACAATTTTTTAACCAAATCTATAGAAAACATTTGAATTTCATTATGATAAATCAAACTTCTTAACGGAATCCTTTATATTTGGAATTCATAGATTTTTTCCGATTCCCTTAAATAACCTTAAATTTTTTAGTGTGTCAAGACATTTGAGGAATTTCAATACCATTTTTGCGATTTATCCTCACTTCTACGGAACCCCCCATTTTAGGGCTGTTTTATCATTTCATGTGGGAGCTATTTCAGCGTATTCAAAAACCATTCTAGCAGTTGTAGATAGGTTTGGTAATTTTAACGTTTTTAAAGCTTTGGCCATTCGGAGGCCATGTTTAGCATTTTTAAGCCATTTTGGCACTTCGGAGGCCATGTTAAGTATGTTAAAAGCCATTTCGGTGATTCTAGACCGTTTGGCCATTTTTGGCGTTTTCAAAGCTATGCTGGCGTTTGGAAAGCCATTTTGGCGGTTTTTAGGTCATTTTGGCGTTTCTAGTATGTGTTTGGCACATAACACCTGTCAATGTTGCTTTAAGAACGCCACAATCAGCGATTTTACCACTCGTGAGCGCTCACTCTGAGTGAACACTCACGAATCATAAAATCGCTGATTGCGACGCTCTGAAAGCAAAATTGACAGGTGGCACAACAAATACTTTTCAACCTCTTGTTGTAAATTACAAGTTCTAATTATCATTATAACAACTAATGAATTCAGAATTCCAGAAAACATTGTTTTATAGCAAGTGAGTGGAAGCAACCCTGCTTGAAACTGATCCTAAAGCTTCGTGGTTTTTTCGAAACTACTTACAGATGTCTCATTAGAACGAATTCGGTGTTGTGACCAGAATATGGACCCTGGAGGCCAATGGTTGATCCACCGGTCAATTAATGAAACTGGTCCTAGAGTTCACACATTATTAGAATAAATTCGGAGTTGTGAAAGCAATATGAACTCTGGGGGCCAGTGGTTGACCCGTTCTGGAGCAACTGTAAAAGTGGTCAATTCATGAAACTGATTTTAATGCATCGTGTTTTTTTTTAATTCGAAACCAGTTATAGGTGTGTAATAAGAATTAATTCACTGCGGCTCAAACAGCGTTTGACTGGCATCCAGCGGCTGAATATGAACTGCTTATCCTAAGAATCTACAAGATGGCAGCATCATCCCGTCGATATGAGACCTTAGGCCAGCCGCCTGTTGTCCCCGAAAATTCTAACCGTAACAGAAACTCACAATGAAAAAGTTTCGTCAGTCTTGATTTCAATGGCAGTGTTGCTGGAAACCACCCAGCCAAGGCATGAACTTCGTTCTTTTTATCCATCACTAAATATAAGCCACGAGTCTGTTGCGATGTGAACTTACACTAACATATTTAGATTATTTATAGAATTTTCATCAGGTGGTATGGAAACAATTCTCATTAATATTTTTTTTTTGTTTTGGTGTAAGTGAACCATTCTTTAGACTACTTCTAAAATACTGAAAATCATTTTAAGATATTCGCCTGATAAATCCATATTGATAGTGCAGTACATTTGAGTCTGACCAATTGGATTGAATGTTTGCGTTGAATTATTAAAAATAAAGTATTTTATTCACCTTACCTTCCAACTCAAAAATATTCCATAGTTTTACTTATTTTACCCATAAGTTAAACATTAAGGAAACTGGGAAAATTACAATTCAATCTGTATAAATCCCACACATGTCAGTGAAATTTTCATAACCACTTGTTTTTCTTTTGTTTTTTTCTTGGTCTTACCATTACAGCCAACATTATGTCGATTTTTTAACATGCATTGAACTTAAATTGCAAAGCAAGAGAAGAAGAGTTGCCAACTGAAAGTTCGTATCGATTTTCAGCAGCAATATCGACTCATGAGCAAGCATTTTCGATGTCAAAGCCATTCAAATAAGTAGTTATACAATTATGGATCTTCAAACTACAAGACAGAAATAACTGACAACACTCAAGTTCCCTTAAGTGATCAGCTGATCGGCTGATTCAAGAGAGAATGGATGGGTGGCACAAAAAAGTAGGACATCAGTAAACTTTCTGGACGGTCCACTTGATGAACGTGGAATCAAACTGTCTTGTGATCATTTAGAACTCTTGATCAATACTAGCCTCTAATGGTTAAAAACCTTTACCATTCATATTCATAGCTCACGTGTTCAAAAGACCACATGATGGATTTTAAGTAATTTCGAGCAGTCAAGTATCGGTTTTCCATCAAAGAAAATGCCTATTGCCGAAATTGGTGGTAATCTCCTAGCGTATATAGAAAAAAAAAAACGATTGGGAAGGTACCGACGGTACACTTAAACTATGCATATCTCACTATATTTCTAATTAAAATAATAAATTGAAAATGGTTCTCGTTTTTTTATAATTTGTACCTAGGTTATGTAATAATGAAAAAAAGAAAATTATAAAAAATCGCGTTTTAATCATATTTAAAATCGAGTCAAAGACCTCCACAGACTGGATACAACTTTGTAACCCTATTTCGAAGGTGGAACAGTCTCCGTGACAGGCGCGTGTAAAATTTCGAAACCAATAAACATGTAGAATCTGATATTAGATGTGGTCCTGCCTCCTCTCCAGCAGACAGGTCCCAGCAATATTTCACCAACAGAATAAAAAAACTACACTTCCAAAAACACTGCCGCATTTAACAAAAATCCATGCTGGGAATTTCCACAACTATTTCGAATATTTTTCGCTACCTCCCAGAAAAAAAAAACCAACAGCGCACACTTTCTTGGTTTTATGAACAAAAAAAAATAACTCACTTTTTCAACACTCTTGTGCTTCCGCCTCACTACCGAATCGTACCACTACTGAAAGTAGGTACGTCAAGAACGAAGAAAAACGACGACGTCCAAAATAGAAGAAAAATGCAACCAACTAGAAGCAAATCCGCGTACAGGAATACAAAATATTCACACGCTCTCTCTCTCTCTCTCGCACACAACCAACACTATCTGCTATCTGCTCCACGGGGAGACAAAACAAAACTCCTTCTCTGCTCGACACAGCAAGCAGAACTACTGGATTGATCACCACTCCGAAACGGACTTGGCTGCGAGCGGATGGGTCGGGGCGATTTTTATGCGAAAACACCAGTGCCGCACTTATTTACACAAGGCGGCTGACTCACGGGCCGCCGGTACCAACACAACGGTAAACACGGGAAACCGTTGCTCGCCGACTCGCTCGCAGCTATGGGTGCTCAATGGTATTGGTGGCGAAAGGATTGGCTCTCTCGCGTCTCGCGATTTGCGTTTGGTTGCCACCTCGGGCTCGGACCAGCTGGCTGCTGGCTGGTCGGTGCTGTGTGCGATAGAACGGCACGGCACTATCGCTCGCACTCGCTCGCTTTTGTGCTGTGCGAGACAGGCGAGACACGACGTGATGGTTTGCTTACATTTTGAGTCCGATGGTGCATCAATACATAAGCCGATTGTTACGCCTTTACTTTTACGTTCATTGAATGGAAAATAGTCCCGTTGCTCAACGAACGCACCAGGGGCTACATAAAGTAAAACTGAACGTTTAAAAAGTAGCGCACCAAAAATTGGAAGATTGCCGTAAAAGCTTAACGCAGATGTCACCACTGCATGATGATGATAATGTTGACAGACTGCATATAAAATTCGTGAAAATTAGCGTTAAATCATAATTTTCATCAAGCCTGTGTAAAATCCTTCCAATATAACATTCGAATTCAAGGAGAAAACGTTTTTACGATCAGACTGATGTGCATCTATGACTTTTCCAGTTGAACTTTCATTAGATATATTCATTTCATTTCGCGGCTCCATCAATGCTGCATCGTAAATATGATGTAAACAGAAGTAAATCGCTCAATTACTCAAAATAAAGATGATTTGTCATCTTGTTATCACATTGAAGACCATCTAGCACCATTTTATAGTATGGTGCGTGTTGAGTAAAACAAGTTCCGTTGCGTTTTCCGTCGAAAATTGTGAGTATCAAAATGAATATTTATTTAATATTGGCGTCCTATACAACCAATTCTCCATTACCACCAGCATGATACAACCTTTCATAAGTAAATTAACTTAATTTCCACTTTCATCTTAGTGGAAATCGCACATATTCACCATTTTCCGAAAAATGCAGCTGCGCATGAGGTAACCTTTCGCTGTGGGTGCAAACTTGCTATGCATTATTTTCCATGAAAACCTCTCCGATCCATACCGAAATAATAACAATTAGTTTTCAAACACGTTTTCTTACACGATTCAAGCAAAAGTTTCCACGAGAAATTATTAGTTTTTCTTTATGGACCGATTTGCCCCAAAAATCGTCTGTTTTACTTGGAAAATTTGGAAACTATCCTCCTTCTAGTAGTTCTCACTTCGAAATGTAGGAGGCGAAAGCTTGGAAAAGTTTCACTGCAAGACGCCAATACCTATATATTTTTTAAGATTTAATCTCGCATGTAATAAAATTACCTGGTGTGGTTGCATCCTATTTGATAAAGTTCTTGTGTGGTACACAGCTAAAAAAGTTGTACAATGTACGTGAGTGCTTTTGATATAGTACACAAAACCGTTGTAAAATACACACTTAGAAAATAATACCGAACTCGGTTTAATTTTCTACCGAACCTCCTCCGTTACCAACGAGAAACCGAATAAATGGTTTAAAAAGCATCGTTTATCGAAGCAGACCCGAATTTCAGTAAATGAGTATAAATTTGACAGGTAGAAATGAAGACTACGGTAAAGTATCGACATTTACGAATTCTCTACGTGAAAACCGAGAAACTCGGTAAACTAAACCGAATATTCGCTAATACGTGTTAAACGTCAAACGTTCCACTTGCGCTCAACTCCGCGACGAAAATTTTAACCAAAAACTCGGTTCTTTAAGCTGAGTCTAAAATTATTCAGCCATTTTTTTCTCGCGTGTGCTCATCGGACGTGTGTAAAATTTTAGTAAAAATGGAAAAAGTTCTGGAGCAGCTGTAACCCGAGGATGCACGTTTGATTGAAATCTTTTGTAAGTATTTGAAACTAACTGTATGATTTTGTATGCAAATGTACAAGGTTATCACCCATATTCTTGTTTTTGTTCGAACCGTATTTTCCATACAAAAAAAAAAGTTACGAAAGAAAACAAGAATATGGGTGTATGTCTCTGGCTTGCAAAGCCATTTAAAACCCATTTGAATAAGAATGACTTCAAAGTCAGTGATATTTTTTTACTGTACATTTCCACGCGTTCACATTACAGCGTATATCACGTGATATACGCTGTCTTGCAATGAGCACTCATACATCTAGTTTTCACTGGAAATCCTATGTATGAGTGCTCATTGCAAGACAGCCTATATTACGTGATATAGGCTGTAATGTGAGCGGGGTATAAAACTCGCGTTACGGGAGTTTTTATTCTCCAAAACAAATTACATTTCAAAAGGTCCTATCGGACATTTGTAAACAAATTGAGTTTAATGCTTCTCTGTACTGCAGAGCTCACCATCTCTAAGTATTGTTCCAGAAAATTATCAAAAAATATGTGAAAAAAACGTCCAATTTAAAAGTTTTTATAATATCTTAAACATGTTTACAGTCCAATATGTCATTCAACAAAAAAAAATACAAATGCTATTAGGACCTTTGTTTCACCTCGTGTTTCACGTGGAATAGAAAAACTAAAACTCATAATAGTTAGTTGGAAATGCTATAAAAATATCAATCGGTTTGATTTCAACCGAGTTTTTATCTGCTGAACGCTCGGTAGTCTCTTCGGTTCAAAGAGAAATAACCGAGCTGTCGTTAGTTCTAATTGTTACCCATAATCTGTCAAAGTTACCGAAAATTTCGTTGACGAAAAACTAAATAAGAAATAACCGAAAATCGATTTATTCAAGAATTACCAAACGCTGTCAAACAAACCGACCCACCTGTTGTAATTACAGAATTCGGTTCTCTTGGACAGCGCTCGGTTTTCACTTCAAATCCCGCTTTAAATTTTGATTACGGATGCGTGCTTTCAATTTTCATAAAAATAAAACCAGTTTTGTCAAAGAAATGTATGAAATCTAGACAAACATTTCAAAAGGTCCTATCTGTCATTGAAGCTGATTGGAGAAAAATTGATTTGAATTTTCGCAATATACTTTTAAATGCCATTTTTAATTACGACATAAAACGATAATCTTTTGTATTCTCAAATGCATACACTAATAAAATTCCACACATTTTTATTGACGAATTTCCATATCAAATTCCACATGATTTTCATGTGACCACACATAAACAGAATCCACCCAGAAGCACAAATGAAATTTATGAGTCAAATCAATAGTATGTGTGGTTGCACATGGCTTCTATGTGTACACATATTAAGTATGTGTCCGACACATAAATATGATTTGTTGATCACATTGCAAAAATTCATGTGTGGGACACATAAAAACAATCTTTGAAATTTTATCAGTGTAGGAAACACATAGAATTCGACTGAAGTGTATGTTTTTTCGTTTGATTCATAATTTTCAGGTTTAATTCGTGCTTTTGTTACATAGGACCTTTGGCTTTTTTCAGTATCAGTTAGGACCTGTCAATTGCAAAGTTAATGTTACTTAGGACCTTGGTAAGAATGAGGGTAAGAATACGGTTTAGAGGTCAGATAATTACAACTACATGATTATTTGTAATTGTTGATGGGCTTAAAACTACTATTCTGCCAATTTATTAAGTAAACAACGTTTATAATAAGAACTTGTCCATTATTTTTTCTGATGTATGCAGGAAAAATGTAAGTGTATGGAAAATTTGAATTTTTTTTTTCATTCTACATAATTCGTTTTACATTTATTAGCTCAAGCTGTTCATCAATAATTTACATTCATTCATGTTATTCGATCAAATCTACATCGCTGTCCTCCAGTGGATCGAGATCCCGAGCGATATCCACATCAAAGTGGTCTACAACGGTATTATTGTTCTTCTTCCTGTTTTTTTCTGGAACTAAGTATTTGAGGAATGTTGCAAAATAATCTTTTTGATTGACATATGGTATCAGTTTGCATAAATCGTCCAATTTAGCACTTGGCAATTCAAGTGGTTGATCCGCAATTGGATCCAAATCCTCGTCCAAATACACGCTTGTAATATCGCATGTCGGATTTGACAGAATTTTGAATAAGCTTTTGCCTTGGTGTACTCCTGGAATCGCAATTAATTCGTCATCTCCATACCAGAAGCAGAGCGATTGATTACAGGCATCGTAAATGAAACTTTCTCATATCCCACTTCCCAGTTAGATGTTGAATCCATAGGAATTTCTAAAGCTTCATGTTGATATTAGCATCATAGAGGTAACTCTAAGACCACTAGGTCCCGAAGAAAATCATTATTATTTTTGGCTCACTCAGTACCAGAACCTCGACCAGAACAACGGTCCCAAGCAGTCCCAAGCTATTTCACTCACCCCTGCATGTTCTGCATGAATCCACACACCCCTGATGTTATCTGTCAAACTTTCATAGCGAATCAAAACAAAAATAGTGTAGTAATAGAATTTCAACTAGAATAGGGTACGTTAATCGTTTGCTTGGGACCAATAGGCTACTAAAGTGGTGAGCCAATTTAAAATCGTTAGTTTCGTATTGATTGTTGTTAGCATAGAGGTAACTCTAAGACTAGAAGGTCCCGAAGAAACGTGCTTAACTTTTTGGCTCAGCTCTGGTACTCTCTTCGGTCCCAAGCTAATCGATGAACCCCTCGAAACATAGGAAAATGCACGAACCCCTCATTTTATCTGTCAAACTTTCATAGCAAATCAAAACAAACATAGTGTAGTAATAGAATTTCAACTAGAATAGGGTACGTTAATCGTTTGCTTGGGACCAATAGGCTACTAAAGTGGTGAGCCAATTTAAAATCGTTAGTTTCGTATTGATTGTTGGTACAATCCAGTAGTAGTGGTGTTGCCATGTGGTACACTGAAAAATTGCAATAGCAGGTTAGTCACCAAAGTTTTCGAGCCACTCCGTCTGTCACTTCGTTAGTGATGGTAACATCGACAACAGTTGTATTCATTTCAAATACAATATTCGTTCTACCGAGATTTAGTGGTATTTTGCTCGGTATTTTGTTTTCATTTTTAACCTACACAGCAAAAAAAGTTGTTGAATATTACATCGAAACTGATGCAACCAGGTCAATCCATCGGTTGTGTAATATCACATTGTACGATGTACATCGATTTTGCGAACAAAATTACATCCATTGATGTAATATTGTATCTACTTTTTGCTATTACATCATTATTTCATACATCAGCTTGAATTACGTTGATCGATATTACATTTTTTTTTGCTGTGTATGAAATAGTAGTGGTTACCATGGGACTGTTTTCAGTGTAGAAGGTCCTGAAGAAACGTGCTCAACTTTTTGGCTCAGCTCTGGTACTATCTTCGGTCCCAAGCTAATCGAAGCACCCCTCGAAACATTGGAAAATCCACGAACCCCTCATTTTATCTGTCAAACTTTCATAGCGAATCGAAATAGAATTTCGATTAGATCGCCGTACGTTAATCGATGTGCTTGGGACCAATAGGATAGTCAAGTAGTGAGCCAATTTAAAGTCGTTAGTTTCCACCGGTTGCTTAAACTCTATTGTACTGACTGCTTCAAACAGAACTATTTTTCGTCAACTCTGTGCAAAGTTGTTAGCAAATGAGCAGTTTGCGAACAAAACTGTGTATGCATGCATGTTTCCCCTGAGTTCTTCCAATCGAACCGTCAAAATGCACCGCTTTGCTCAATTGGAACAGTTTTTTTCAGTTTTGTGGTGACAGTCGTCCATACTTTAACTAGAGGGCTTTAGTTATAACTCCTGACAACCGGGGGACAAGACATGCGTTAAATTATAAAATGTCATTCTTGTCATTACATTTTCATTCATTTTTTTTTTCGGTTTAAAAATCCAGACAGGGATCATTATTTACTTCTGACTACTGAGGTCACAGCTCGTCGATTGTTCATTGTATATAATAATTAACTTTTAACCTTTGCTCTGGGAAGTGCTTCGGGATTTGGGCCGAAATTGAGCCGTGAATTATTGTCTAATTCCATTATTTGGTCAATGTGAAAATACTATCAACGCAGTGCCAATCAATCTAGAAAAGCAACAATGAATTCTTCCACACCATGGATTGAAATACGCAGTTTGTACGGGAAATACGTCAAGTGGGTCTCCAGCAATCCCTCCGCTCTGGGTGATGTGGAAATGACGGTGAAATGGTTATCCTACTTCATAGCCGGTTTGTGCTGATACATTATGCTGAGTGTTTTCGGATTATGTGCAAATTTAAACGCCTGTAACTTATCATTTTAGGAAAAATTAACAACTCATCGGCAGTGTCCGAGCTGGTGTACTCCCTGTCCAACCTGTTGGTGTTTTTCAACGATCGGATCATCGAGAAATCGAACAATGCTGTCCAGTACACAGAGAGCAGCCCACTTGCACGACAGATTAAAGTAGTTCTAACTACGCTGGAGTATTGCGAGGTTTTCATCGAACTGTCCGCCCATAAGGTATGGGGTTCACGTGGACGGTGGTTCTTCATCGTGGTAGTGCAGACAATCAAGTAAGTTCGCTCATAGGGTGTGTAGAGGCAAGGGTGCCCACCTGAACATTTCAAAGATAAATGCAGTTCCCTTGCTAATTTGAACTAAGGGAAATTGATGTTATGTCAACCTAAATGCCCCTAATTTGGGCCCATACATAAATTCAGCAATCGACTAAATTTTCAATATCTACCAAAAATATCCATTAGTACCGTCCCAATGACGCGTTCATCTAGATAAAATTGATAAATAGCGATGGGCCCAATCTTAGATCCATATGCTAACATTAGAGCCATTTCCCCTATGTTTCAATGAAGCATTGTTGTTTATTTAGTTTATTTGGAACAAAATTCAATTATCTTAGGATTTAAATTAGTTTAGGGCAAAATTCAACTCTAATAATATTGTGTATGAATGTGTGTGTAAGTGTGTATAGGGGATTGTGGCGCAAGGTGGCATTTCATGTGTTCCTGAGTTGTTTTTTGATGGTATTTTCGTGATTTAAAATTGGCTCACTACTTGACTTGCCTATTGGTCCCAAGCAAATCGATTAACGTATCCCATTCTAGTAGAAATTCTAGTACCACACTATGTTTGTTTTGATTCGCTATGAAAGTTTGACCAATTAAATGAGGGGTTCGTGGATTTTCCTATGTTTCGAGGGGTGCATCGATTAGCTTGGGACTGAAATGAGTACCAGAGCTGAGCCATAAAGTTGAGCACGTTTCTGTGGGACCTTCTAGTCTTAGAGTTACCTCTACGGTACACACCTGTGTAGAATCCTTATGGAATTATAATTAATTGAAAATAAATTATAATTTTGTTCATAATATTACAATACTTCCCCCGCAAAAAAACACCATGATGACGTGATACTCGTTTGGCTACACTGCCGTCATACGCATAATTGTCCCATGGTCCATAAGGAATACATAGAACATGGGACAGTTATGCGTATAACGCCAGTTCGTTTGGCTACATTCTGCTTTGCCTCCACTTATCTATGGAATCTATTATATCTAAGCCTCCTAAATAAAGCTAAATAATAATAATAATAATCTATTATATCTATAGTTAGTTCTAATTCTACCGTCAAGCTTTATTAATAGTAATAAACTTCAACCGTTTAAATCAATCCGACCTTTCTCCGCTACGAGTAATAAGAGGTTATGGGGCACCTCGAAGGAAGCTGTGCATGAAATTTCTCAGGATTCTGGTGGACCAGAATTCGAGAAGTGGAGCTACATCGTCGGATTCTTGGCAGATGAAGTTCTGTAGGTAGTCCGATACAAAAAGCAACGCGATGGACTCAAGCTTGGGCGAAGTTTTTGCAGAGAAGTTTGTGGCGAGTAAAAAGCTCCTGCGAAAGCAGCTTGGGTGCCTACGGATGAAGGAGGGAACTTCGATGTGGTCTCATGAGGCAACTCAAAACGGCTGGTGCGAACCTGGAGGATGGAAAGCTCGTGTCTCAGCTATTCCTTAGTTCATCTTACGACACCCTCGCCACAGCGCTAAAAAATATCGAGGCAGAAGACTTGAACTTGGATTTGGTCAAGCAACGACTCCTGGCGGAAGAGCCAAAACGTGCTGATCAGATGGGCGAAACTGTTAAGGACAGACCAGCGGCTTGCACAGAACATCAGCGAAACAGACGTGGTGGAAAATTCAAGGCTAAACGCCACAACTGTGGAAAACCGGACCACATGAAGAAGAACTGCCAAAACCCAAAGAAGGAAGTTTATGCTGCAATTAGAAAGAAAGCAATTAGCTTTATGGTGAACCGCGACAAGTCAACAAAATTGAACGGTAGCATAATTAATTTCAAGTTGGACTCTGGAGCGAGTGATCATTTGGTCAATATAAAAACGTTTTTCGATTCGACTGAAAGCCTGCCGACCCCGGTGGTGATCAATGTGGCGATGGATGGTGAAAGCCTAATAGCAGAGGACGAAGGTGAAATCTGACGGTGAGTCACGGTTAATCAGTGGAAAAAGTCAGCGTATGGAATCAGATGTGAAAGGAGAGAACACTCGTGATTACAGAATAAGTGAAATTTATTAAAAACAAAGTAAAAACTTGGAACGTGATAAAAACACCCTCGCGTCGGTCGCGGTTCGATCGGAGAATGGCTGTTTTGAAGATGACAGCCACTTGCACTGCTCGAGGGATCGGCAGCTACTAGGGGGTTCGGACGGGTATGGTGACCAAGGAGTATCTATATCATAAGGTGAACATTGTTTTTATCCACACTCCTCAATGGTTAACCGCTTCACTGGAACTTCCTACCACAGAACATCTGGTGCTTCATCGATCCGAGGGGTTTCGTCAGAACATCCGCGATCATTTGATCACTCGAACAGTAGATCAACTCAATCTCCTTCTTCTCGCATAATTCCTTAACGAAATTCTCTCTCGTGTCAATATGCTTGTCCTCGTTTAACACTGTTGAACCCTTTTGCTCCTCACCAAAATCGCGCAGAAGTTGCCTCAACCATACGGCAGGCTTCGCTGAGCGCCACGTACTCGGCCTTCATAGACGAGAGTGTGACGGAAGTCTAGCGACGAAACCGGATGTCGATTTTCGACTACCGACGTCTCCGGCCCAATCAGAATCTGCATACCCGATGAGTGCTTGATCTGGATTTCCTCCTAGTCCTAGACTGTAATCGGCCGTAGCATTCAAGTATCGGAGCACGCGTTTCGCAGCGGTCCAATTCACTTCTCCCGGAGCACTGAACTTGCGTCCGAGGATTGCAGTACTGGCCGCAATGTCTGGTCGAGCGTCGACAGCTAGGTACAATAATCCACCTACAAGAATTCGGTATCTCGTTGGATCTTCGAAAGTTTGACCTGAATTGACCGTTTTCAAGAACCCAGGCTCCATGGGTGATTTCGCCATCTTGGCCTGCTCCATCCCATACTTCTTAATCAGCTTCTCGATGTAGTTCTGCAATCGAATTCTGTAAACTCCAGCTTTTCGCTGCACCTCCATTCCGAGAAAGTGTCGAACCTCACCAAGGCATGTTTGTTCGAACTCTTCCTTCAGAGAATCGAATAGTCGTTTGATTTCTCGTTCGTCAGTTGATCCAATCAACATGTAGTCAACATAAACAAGTAGAAACACTCGAGTTGTACCAACAGTCCTCACATACAGGCACGGATCAGCGCCTGATGGTTTGAATCCTCGCTTCGATAAAGCTTCGTTCAGTTTTGGATGTTAGCAACGTGCTGACTGCCGCAAGCCGTAAATACTTCGCTTGAGTCTGCAAACAAACTCATCCTTTCCAGGTACTGCACATCCAGGGGCTGGCGCATAAGCATCTCCTCATTCAATGAACAGTAGAGTTACGCGGTCGAGATGTCACAGGACCATGTTCTGCTTTGAAGCAACTGCAAGAAACGTTCGCAAAGTTGCCTGAAGTGTTACTGGTGCGAACAGCACAAAATCATCGAAACGCTTTGGTACTGCTCCACGGTTATGTCGATTTGATCGGCGAGACGTAACAGGAACATCTTCATCTTCTTCACCTGCTTTGTAACATTCTTCACTATTATGTAACTCCGCATCACTTTCGTCCATCTTCTTCTCCTTTAAAGGTAGTTGTTCGATTTCGTCCTCGACGTTTTCCTCGGGAACACTGGAATCCGGAACCGATGCAGGATACTCCACTGAACTCGTTCCATTGCCAAGTTCGATAAACCTGGTGTCTCGGGTCACTATGATCTGGTCCGTCTCACGATTTACAAAGCGGTAGCCATAGAATAGCCAATGAATGTAAGCTTTCGTGCCTTGCCTTCCATTTTTCCTCGCTTCATATCTGGAATGTGTACAAAAGCCTCACTGCCAAACACTTTCAGATGACCTATCTCTGGCTTACGACCCCACCACTGTTCAAATGGTGTTTTTTGGACGGATCTCGACGGTAAACGGTTCTGCAAATAGGTTGCGGTAAGCGTCGCCTCACCCCAGAAACGCTTCTCAAGGCCAGAATCGAGTAGCATACAGGTGCCCATCTCGGTGAGCGACCTGTTTTTTCGCTCGGCAACGCCATTCTGTTGAGGTGAATAGGGGGTGGTGAATTGTGGTTTAATGCCTTCCGCTCGGTAGAAGTTTCGCAGCTCCTTGTTGTCAAATTCTCCGCCTTCATCAGATCGGGTGACCTTCGGCTTCCGGCCGTATAGGGTTTCCACACTCCTTGATGCTCTCAGCTGCTTCCCATTTGTTCTTCAGGAGATACGTCACCGTAAACCGACTGAAGTCATCGATGATGTTCATGACATATCGGTTACCGCTCGGTGTGGTGGTCTTCATCGGGCCACACAGGTCAGATATCCAGTATTCCAGTCGATTTCCGTTAGGTAACGGCAAGAAATGGAGGTCGAGTCGATTTCCCCGCCATACAACACTCACATTTAAGCCTCAAACCACAACCGCTTACCTTCATACCTATTGGTTCTCCTTCATGATGCGTTGGCGATCGGTGTAGATTTCAAGCGATGCGATGCTTGTGCGCAAGGCAAACAGTGTGCATTTCAATGGAGCACGTACCCGAGCAAAACGACCCCTCGACCCCCGGAATGACTCGGACGTATGCGGCCAAATCGATCCCTGCCTGGGATGGATCAAAATTTTCACATTTCGGCACGCAGATTTTGAAACTGACCGTGACTACTACAAGAAGAAAGGCATTCAGGTTAGGGCCACTGTCGCTTACACGCCTCAAACGGTGTGGCTGAGCGTTTCAACAGAACGCTAGTGGAAAAAGTACCGAAACAGATGTGGAATGAAGCAGCTCTTACAGCGGAATACTTGATCCAAGCAACCCCTGCTGCGTTTTCCTTCGCATTAAATGTTCCTGAAGCCTACAAGTATGTGCTAGTTCTGGAAGACATAGACGAGTTGCAGTCGATGGAGAAGAACCAGGTGTGGGAGATGGTACCATGCCCCGCTAACGTGAAGTCATTAAAAGCCAAGTGGGTTCTCCGGGTTGAGGAGGATGAGGCCGGATAGTACGGTACATCGCCCGACTCGTCGCTAAGGGTTTTCTGCAGAAACCGCGAAGAGACGTACGTTACGGTGGTCAAACTTGCGACGATTAGAATCATCCTTGTGGTTGGTGTTCACGAAGGCAGTACCAGATGGATGTAAAAATGGCCTTCTTTACGGCGAGCTAAAGGAATCAATCTTCATTTGTCCTCCAGACAGTACGAAGTTAGCACCGGGGATGGTGTGCAAACGGAAAAAGTCGCTTTATGGACTGAAGAAATCTCCACGGTGTTCGTCAGGTACCAGGATGGCGACGAGCTTTATGTCATCTTGTACGTCGATGATCGTCTGATTGTGGGAAGATATTTGGACACCATCGACAAGCTAAAGATGAAGCTATCTTCTGTCTTTGCGATGACCGATTGCGGAGAATTGTGACCCTTTCTTGGTATACGAATCAATTACAACCGTAGTGGTAGATCTTTGAAACTGTCACAGAGAACAAACCGTTAAATGATGAATTAAACAGAACTCACCATTGTTTTTTACTGAATGTAAATTACATTCACTAGTTCATCATGCATGCAGATACTGATTTGAATTATTTACAAAAGTTGAAGCTTATATCAAAACCTACAAACGCATCGTAAATGAATGTACGAAAAGAATGTAAATGATTTTCCATACCTGCCTTGGGGTCGTAACGAAGAGAAAGTTCTGAACCTTTATATACCGAACTTGTGATGATACATACAACCAGTTAAAATGTATAAAGCCTGACTAAAAGTAAATTGGTACGCCCCTCGCTTGCCGCTAGCACGCCTTTAGTGTTGGAAATCGAAAATCTTTGACAGTAGTTTACACTTATATAGAGAACAACACTGGTGCAAGTTTGATCAAAGTAGTCGATCGCGTTCAGAAATAACGTCAAATGGAACTCGAAAGAAGAAAAATTATTGTGCACAAACACCTGGAAAATCCGGAGTGGTCCGGTTCCAAGCTGGCTAAAGTGCTGAAGATACCGAAAATAACAGTTTGTCGAGTGCTCAACACCTACAAGGAAACCCTGAGTGTGGAAAGGAATCAGCGGACCTACGAAAAACTGGAACCAGGGATCGTCAGCTGCGCAGCAAGGTGTTGAGGTGCGTGAAAGCCAACCCCGGTCTTCGATCCGAGATGTGACCAGAAGGTACAACGTCAACTTTCAGACGGTGCGGAACATCGTGCAAGGCTCTTGTATGACCGTGTTTTGACGAAACACAGGTGCTGCACTTTGATCGATGACGAAATATACGTCAAACTCGATTTTAAGCTGCTTCCCGGTCAAAAGTTTTACATCGCGGCTGGACTTATAGATGTGCCGGGAAGATTCAAGTCGCGAAGAAGGCCATGATTTGGCAAGCGATTTGCAGTTGTTGCCTGAAAACGGAACCATTCGTCATCCTCGACGATGACATCTCAAGTTTACATCGAAGAATGCCTGAAAAAGGGTGTATTGCTGTTCATCCGCAAGCATAGGGGCAAAGTCATCTTTTGGCCTGATTTGGCCAGCTGAGGAATTTCAAAGCAGCGACTTCGAAGCGGCGGGGCAGTCAAGTACATCCAGCGAATGTGGGAAATATGGAAGAAATGCGCTGATTCCGTGTCCGTTTCTACTGTGCGGGCGCTGATGGGCTTCATCAAGAGGAAGGTTCGATATTTCGTTTGAACTGGAGAAATGTAACCATCTAATGCTGTAACTTTGAAGTTTTAATAAAAGTACTGTAAAGCAACCATTGATGGACTTTATTTTAAACTTATTGAATCACGAATTACAGGTCTTTTTGTGCGTACCAATTTACTTTTAGTCAGCCTTTAATGTACAACATTACGTTCCGCAGATGCATCGGCCGTTTGATTCTCACCATGTTCTGCCAGAACAACAACATCATCCAGAATCCACCCATCCCAGTGCTGGACAGGAAAAGTCTAACGGAAACGGCTGCTAGACCGGACACCAACACTTTCCAGGAGCCCAGTGATACCGTTGTCCTGAAACGTTCCGGTCGTGTCCTGCGCAAAGTTGAAGGCGCACCACCGATAGTGGCTCGGACATTCAAACCTCTAAAGCACGAAACAGTGGCTCATCCGATCCGGTACGGGGGTCGATTCATCCGAACGGCTGAACTGATGTACATCGTGAAACCTCTAGTTCATTTAGCGTGCATTCGACGGTACGGCATGAAGAGTTGGAAGTCGTATCTAGTACCCATGGCTGTTGACGTTGCCAGGTGAGTTTTTGTTAGTGCATCTTCAAAATCCATCAACTAACTAAATACTGTTTTTCTTCAGCCTACGTATCTACTACAAAAACCGGGAGCACCTGTCCAAGGAGCAGAAACAGGAACTCTCACGACGTTGCGTTTCGATGCTGCTCTATCTGATGCGATCGCCTTTCTACGACAAGTACAGCAAGCAACGGATTGCCTCTCTGTTGAACAGCATCGGCAAAAATGTCCCCCTGACGGGCACCATTACCAATTTGATTCTGTCCTACATTCCACACTGGCAGGAGACATACTTCTACATGTGGTCCACCTAGAAAGGATTCTGACTTTCTATAATGTACCTTCTATCTATTGTATAAGTAACTGTGGTGATTGACATTTTTAATAATTGTATTACCTACTGTCTAGTTGAAAATTACTAGAAGGGGGGGAGGGGGGAGGAGCATAATGAGCACCTTAAGCAATGTACACAGTTTTTGGTTTAAAAGTGTAAAATTAGTTGTTGATTTGGACCTTAAAAAATACAGTTTTCAGATTGGTTAACAACGGTAGCATATTTTAGAGGCACGGGGCGAGTTGAGCACCCGAATGAGAACATTTACAAAAACGGATAGTGGTAGTACTTTTAAATATTTAACGGAAGGAAGCATCGTTTTATTTTTCCAATGTGGATACTGCAACAAATGTTCACCATTTTTTAATGTGCTCATTTCGCTCCTTCTAGAACAATTATTCTTCACGCTATTTCAAAACTACCCAAATTAGGGTAGAATCCACCCAGATCCGTCAAAACTGAACCTACCCAAAAATGGGTAAACTGTGTTGGGAGTGACAAGTTGACAAATGACATCAATCCGATCGACGTTGTTCATTTGTCAACTTGTCACTCCCAAAACAGTTTACCCATTTTTGGGTAGGTTCAGTTTTGACGGATCTGGGTGGCTTCTACCCAAATTTGGGTAGTTTCGAAATAGCGTGTTAACTCATTGTATTTAAAATATGAAATACTGACCTTTATGACGGATATCACTTTCCATCCGTAATAAGGGAAAATGGGGTGTTCAACTCAACCAGCATGCTCATTATGCATATTCCCCCCTACCTACCGTATAGTTGAAAATACAGTTGAACAGCAACGACTTTTTGATTTCGATGCGGGTTGAATGATATAGGTATTCTTGATAAATTGAATGTTGTAGAAGAGTAACAGTTTGTTAAGGAGAGGGTGTGAATTGGGGAATAAAGTGCGATGGGGACTAGCAGGGAAGAATAATATCTTGTGTTTTGTTACAATCTCTGTTGGTGCCAAAATTACTGCAAGCTGTGATAGAATCTAATCAATTGACTCTAATTCAATGTGTGTCTTCGTTCGTTCTATTCAATTCTGCATATGTATATTCCGCTACTGGCGATGTGAAGCGATGTTAGAATTCGATAGCAGTGTCTAATCAAGTAAATTGATCATTTGATATATCTACCTACCAAAACGGGCCATCGAATGCCAGAACAACAAATTATTCAAAATGAAGCGATAATTCTCAATCAAAAATGACCAGCTGGCGAGATTTGATCAAGAAAACAATTAAATTTTTTGTACAGTGGTAAAAAACTAAATTTAACTAATTTTACCTATTTTTCCATTCCTTGTTCAATCTATTAACGAATTTTGAATCTTTGAAGTGTGATAGAAAATACCGTCTTTGTTTGGCGTAAGGATTGATGTTTCATTTGTTTTGTAAGGTTCAGATTTTTTATGGCAAGATGAGAAATTTTCCGCTATGACGTTTTTTTCCCGATGAAAACATTTCGCGTATACGTATACGTGACCCAAGAACCTCTCCCAGTTGATAAACAGAAAGTTCTAATGTTTTGTGCAGGGTGGCCAGACCTACCGATTTATTGGTAGTCCAACCGATTTTCGGGATGCCTACCGATTCACAGACGAAAGGTTGAAAACTACCGATTTTTCACTTTTCCTACCGAGAATCACAGATTTTTAGTAATCTTGAAAAATGTTCAATATCTATGTTTTGTTTCCCGTGTAGTGATGATGATGATGGTCCCACCTCTTACCCCTACAAAAGTTTGAGCTGGACGAGTTATCTTTAAGATAATTAAATATAAACATTTTAACCAGGTTTGCAAACAAAATCGAGCTGGTTACAATTACAGATATAAATGTCCTGTTAAATATGCTATAGGCATCAACCAAAAACATTCAAAGGTGTAACTAGTTATCAAAAGTCCAAGTATAGTCCTCGACAATACTTCCATTTACACGTGACCTGGGATTTACACGTTTAAGCTTCCGCAGTGCCAGGACTATATCCAAGGAAACGACTTCCAGCCAATCCTTTACTAATTCAAGGCTTTTGCCACAATTTCCACGTATTAGTCATTTATACCTGTATTCCGCGCGCGAGGCTCAAACCATCGTAGACTACTCAAAGCTATTTTTACTATTACTACTACAAAATCAAAAAACTAAAAATCCATCATCACCATCGAGGCAAACAATGTAGTTTTTTTGTATATGCTACACCAATTACTAAAATGTCTATATGACAGTCTCCATACAAAATAATCCGTTAGAGATAACTTTGTCAAGATACATGATTTATCCATTCATAAAAATTTAACTGCTCAATAAACAGCTTTTACATGTGAAATGCAGCGTCTCTTGAATTCTGTAAGTGTAGTTGCACGCTTGATGTGTCTAGGCATCGAATTGAAAACATTTATACCTTTGAAAAATAATGAATTTTGTGAAGCATTATTCAAAAGATGTGGTGTTCTTACTTCATCCGCGTCTTAGTGTTATATCTATGAAAATCACTTCCTCTTTCAATCCGATCACACAAATATCGAGGCAGCAAACCGTTAACTACTTTAAAAATGAACACCATAGTCAAAAACACAATTCTTTGCTTCACTGACAGCCATTGCAAAGCGTCCAGCATAAAAGTTGAGGAAGTGAATCTATTACATCTTAAAATCAAACGCATTACTTTATTCTGCAAACGCTGTAATCTCGATATTTGTGTTTCATTGGACAAAAATAAAATGGAAGGGCAAAAGTCTAGATGAGGGGAGATGATTGATTTGTATAACTGTATTTTACTACCAATAGTTAAATCGTTTTTCAAGCGACATAGGATTCCATACTTCTTGGCAATTTTCTTGATGACATTGTCAATATGAGAATTGAACTTGAGTTTGTCATCAATAATCACGCCAAGATATTTAATTTCCTGAACGCGATCAAGTGTCTCATCATCAATAACAACAGAGACATCATCATCTACACGATTCCGCGAAATTACCATGAATTTAGTTTTACTTATATTCAATTTCAATTGTTTATACTTCAACCATCTACTTAGAGAACGCAAATCTTCATTCAAGCGTGAAACGGCTTCTTCTAAATCTTTAGCTGCAATGAATAACACAGTATCGTCAGCAAAAAGATTAATATCACAAAACCGTAAAACTCGTCGCATGTCATTATTATACATAATAAATAAAAGGGGCCCTAATACACTTCCCTGAGGCACTCCAAGGTCATTGTCAACGGGACAAGATACAAAATCATTAAAAACAGTCCTGTGTGTTCTGTCAGATAAATAGCTTTTAAACCATTTGTATGCAGAACCCGAAATTCCAAACCGCTTGATTGTTCTCAACAATAAGGGCCTAGAAATTGTCTCAAAAGCGCGTTTTAGATCCAAAAACACAGCAACAATCGTATCTTTATGCTCCAAATTTTCTTTCCATTTAGCTAACACTAAGTTTAACGCGGTTTCACTAGAATGGCCTTCCCGGTATCCCGATTGTTCCGGTATCAACAAACAGTTACTATTTAAATATTCTAACAGCTGGCCTTTTACAACAAGTTCCAAAATTTTCTCTAATGTGTGCAACATGTTGATGGGACGAAACTCTTCGGCTTTAATCGTCCCAGCAACTTTTTGTATAGGAACAACTAAAGATTCTTTCCAAATATGCGGCACGTGCCCAGATTGCAATGATTGATTAATAAGGTCCCGCAGAGTGTGTCGAATGACATGAAAGCAATCTTGAATAACTCTAGCATTAACATTATCTACTCCAGCCGTTTTTCCTAATGAAAAGCAAATATTTTTAAGTTCATCTAATGTAATTGGGTGAAAACCATTAAATCTACAATTACTATTAATCGGCTGTTTTATTTCGTCCGGTTCATTGATCAGTTCAATAGATTGATTGATCAGTGAAACGCTCTCGACGAAATAGTCATTAAACTTAGAAGCAATTACTTGTTCTGACTGTTCTAATATGCCATCAAAAGTTATGGTCCGCGATTTACAATTACTAGGCTTCATCAAAGATTTCAAAATTTTCCATAACTCTTTGCTGTTGTTTTGATGCTGATCAATTTTCCTCTGAATATATTCACATCGAGTTTTCTTAATCGATTGTGAATATTTATTACGCACGACCGTGTACCTATTCCAATGATTATCACTATTAGATCTACAAAACTTTTTGTACCATTTGTCCCTCTTACGTTTAAGACGCAAAAGATCCAAATTGTACCAGCTGTTCGAGTTTTTCAAAGAAACAAACTTTTGCTCAACTAATTGATTGGTACACGTTTTCAAAGTGTTAGTTAGAACAGCTGCAGATTCATCTAAATTACCGGCCGCGAATGGAAAATCCACGCTTCTCTCAACAAGATTCGAAACAGCTTGCTTCGAATATTTCCTCCAGCACTTCAATTTTACAAAATTATCGTTATCGTTAACACTGTCTAAGAAATTAATTACTAAAGTTTCATGATCGGTTATTTTCAAATCAGCTTGAGTAACTGAACTGACAGAATCAAAATTAGAATAAACATGGTCAATCAAAGTTCTACTGTGCCGGGAAATACGCGTACATTCACTTACTAATTGTTTTAAATTAAAGAAATCAGCTAATTGCTTCAGATGGTTCGAATTGCTAGTATCGTGCCAATTAATGTTAAAATCACCCGCAAGTATATTTAATTTACTAGAATCTAAAAATGTCTCGAACCAGTTCTCTAAAATTTCAATAAAACGCTGATTACTTGAACTGGGAGAATGATACAAAACACCATAATTACCCATCTTCATGCCACGTTCAACTGTAATGCCTAAGAACCAATTGCCATCAATAACTTCGTTTTGGCGAATATTGAATTGAACTGATTCTTTGACATAAATAGCAACACCGCCAGTGTGCCTCGAATGTGACAAACAAGCAGCAGCTTTATATCCCGGAATGCTATACTGATCAAAAGATTCAATTTCTACAATATGTGTTTCTGCTAACAAAACCAAAAGTGGACGATTTTCTTCTACAATCTGACGTAATGTTACGTAGTTTGTAGATAACCCCGCAATATTTAAATATAAAATCTCTAATTTACTCACATTACTACTGGAACTTGGTTGCTATTTATTGAAATGTAAGCTGCTTTTTTTCTGATCATATAGTTTTTTATACACAAAACAATTAGAACTAAATGCTGCGTGGTTGATGTCCAAATTTAATTTACGCTCCTTATTAGTTTTTAAACAATTAACGCATTTCAATACAGTTGACGTACACTTAGAGGTGCTATGTTGTTTGCTGCATCTAGAGCATCGTTCGCAATTTTTGCAATCCGTGCTTTTGTGCCCAAATTCTCCACATCTGAAGCATCGCAAAACATTAATCGCGGGAACTATCGAGCACCGATCAAACCCTACATT